GAACCCAAGCAGATCCTCCCCGCAGCTTCACCATTAACATGTCTGTTTCCTGTCAGCCCACTCAGAGATAATGTCATTTATCTCAGGGAGGCACAAGCCCAGTCATTAGCTTCAATAAAAGACCTCAAACAAAGGCCGGATAATGTTTTACCCAGGGCTCTAACTAAACCAACAACCAAGAATCTTGGTGTCTAAAAGTCAAGGACTCAAAAGTTACCCTTAAAAGGATACTTTCCTTCTTATCAACAATCCTAGATTACAGCTCTGAACAAGAGCAAGGTCTATGTATAGTAAACACCAGTCTGCCGCAATATCACACACAATTAGATTAACCGATAAGCGCTGACCAGAGTTAGCATGAGAGGCTTTCCTCCCCACCCCCGCCCTTGCCTCCAGGGGGAAAATTGACAGAATAATTCAGGTACTGACTAAATAGTCAGATCTTTGAAGAACTGACCCCTCATTGTGATTGCCTGCAGGAACTGAATAACCATTATAAAGTGTTCAATGGCTGTGCTTCTGGAAATCTTATAAATAAAAGTGGAACTGGTTAAAATAAATGTAGGAACATGTGTTTTCACAGTGTTGCTCATATTACTGCAATTTCGAGTTTCTATGAAGTACCAGGTGAACTTTTTTAAATTAAAAAAAAAATACACACACACACAGGCACCGTCAAAATTGGAGCAAATCTCAGCCATTCAATCCCTGTTTTTCATGCTGAAAACGAAGAACAGATGGTACTTTCCATGTTGTTTGAATCTGGTTATTGAACACCTCTGTGGTTAGGGAGATTTCTGCTTAGCACTTTCGGCATACATTTCATTTACTAACTATAAAATGCTGCTTAGGAAAAATAAGTCTTTATAACACTCTAATTAAAACCATCTTGCAGCCAAGCAATTTCACTTGAAGAGCATTCTTAACCTCATGACATTTGGACTATCAATCCCTCCCCCCATTCTGTTTTTTACAGACTATTTGCAAAGTTATTAAAAGTTGCAAAACGTTATTTATCTCCTATCGCACAATCTTGATCAGTTGTGCGTATTTTTTCTCTCTCCAACAAACCTAATAGATCCAAATATTAAACTCAGAATTCAGTGACGGGCTTGATCACACAAATATCCAAGTTGCATGGGTTCTCACAGAAAACTTCTTTAGGGAAAGGGCAGTCCCTCTGCACCCACCTCAAAAAGCCCTGTCACCATCTGAGGAAGCCTATAGAAAAGTAAGGAGCTGGATCAATGCTGATTGGAAGCCACCCTTAGTTACCACGTTTTTAGCAGCTAAATCCCTTATGTAGCTTTCAAAACAGTTTGCTGTCCAACAACAATGGACTTTGTTCTTTAATTATAGCAAGTGACCTTTCTGCCCTTTTATTTCACAGTAGATAAACTGCACTCTCTAAGCAGAATTCATATGGGGCACTATATTTGAAAAAAAAAAAAAAGCATATTGTCCGCAAAACTCATTAATCAAAATATGTTCTTAAACTGCTCACACTCACTTAGAAAATGTGCCAGAATTCCCTGGTGAAGTGTAAAAAGGCTTCTACAAGAGAATAAAATAAAATGAATAATATCCTTTATGGACAGGTCCATTTGTAGACACCACCTTTATGACAAGGACCATCTTAATGAAAGTAATAGAATATTACAGAAATAAGTCTCATCTCTAAATGTGTATTGAGACACAACTATATGACCTCCTGTGCCTTTTATTTCTGTTTAAGTATCCACTGCTTTTAAGAATTTTAAGCAGGTTGCTGTGTATTTTTTAATTTGCTGTGTATTTTTGAATTTTCCAGAGGCCATTAACTCTATATAACTATTTAGTAAGCCCAGTCGAACGCCTCCCTGTTTGAGAAGTCAAAACTCTAAAACGGCTAAGGTGGACCCAGAAAGAAGAGCTTCAACACAAGGCTATTATGCTTCAAAAGAAAGGAGAGGAAGGTGGAGAGGCAGGTTTTAACAACTAAAAGCCAACCCGTCAAATCTACTTATTCAGACATGTCACTGGTGGCTTAACCACAAAATGGGCTATAGAAATATAGCTCAAACATCTTAGAATTATGGCATGTTTTGATTTTGTTCACGTATTAAGGGAGTGGCGACTTTTACAACATACTTGTGGTTTCCACATAAAGGAGTAGAACACTCATTGATTTAATTAGGTTTCATAAGGTCCAATGTATCATGTTTTACATGACTTTGTGTAGTGAAGAAACAGAATAAACAGACCAAAAATAGACATTTAAGCATGCTGTGAAAATTAACCGGTGACAGCAAGTCTTATGAATCTCCTGTGAACCTTCCAACCAGGAAAAAAAACGTGCACACACACATACAACTCCCCTTCGGTTTTCACATGTGGCCCCTCATTGCTGAAAATCTGATTGCTGAATATTAATCATCTTCACTCCTGAGGCACTTACACTTCACCAACCCAGATAATCAAGCAAGGCTGAAATTAAAACATTGTATCAAACGTCAAAAAACCTCAGCATTGAAATATTTTGTCAGGTGAAGCTTGTCCTACTCAACCTTTACTTCCTAAATAGGTAGCCTCACATCATCAGGAAGTATTTTCTAAATTGATGCCTAATTTGACACAACCACTAGGTTAGTGGAATTCGAGTTACTTCCCTGGGTGGCATTCATGCAAGGGAGTGCCATCTCTGTGTGCCAAGGAGGAGAGCATTCTTAAGAGAAGTCATGCTGGGGTGGAGTGGGGGTGGGGAGGAGAGCCCGAAGAAACAGTGTTTGTGATCCTGAGCCAACGCCCTAGCTTGATAGAGAACAGTCAACACTGCAGGATTCAAGCCCCTGGATCCAAGCCCCTGAGGGGCCCCAGTGCCAACTCCGGTGGCTCAGGTTGGCGGTACAGCTTCCTCCTGTGTAGGGCCAGGAGTGAATCTAAATGCAATGTGCTCTCTCCCTTCCCCCACCCCAGACCCACCATGCCTTGTTTGCTCTTCATTTATGTAATTCATATTTATCACATTTATACTGCTCCGACTGAATATGAGTTGCATGTATATGAATAATTTAATTCTTTCATTCTTCATCCAGTTTCCTGTGACTGGAAAGTGAAAAGAACACAAAAACTGGAGAAACGACACCACGCTCTAATCTCAGTTGCCATGACAGCAGCCTTTGAGATACTGAAATGTTCCGATTGCCAGCTAAACAAAATTGTTGAATGTGAACATTTGGCTGGAAGATTAAAAGGCTAAGGGGAATGCAAAAGGGCAGTACCTCCCACATTCCAAGCAGCCAGTGAATCCAATCAAATGGCTCTGACTCCTTAACCACAGCCATTGTGAGCACTGGATTAGGGCAATTCATCTAGATAGTTAAAGCAGATTAGAACTGCAATTTGAAGACTATTGGCAACAAAAGTAAATGCCCTACTGTACTAAGTAATAAGAAGATTTCAGAATGCCTTTTAGCAGACATTATGGGAAACTACTTACATTTAAACGTAAGAATCAAAACCTGGGATGTAAAAAAAATTCATTTAAACTCCTCATTGTAAAATGCTATCTGCTCAAGGGGCTATGAATTTTTAAAGTGTTGGGAGGCTTTCTGCAAGTTTGGCATCATCTACTACACCTTAACGTACCTCCATCAACTTCTAAAAGCAAAACTTTACTCCTATACTCCAACTAAAGTCTTGAGCACACAAAAACAAAAATGTAAAGGTTGAAACCGAGAGCAATGAAAAATTTTACACAGAGATAATTACCCAAAGACATATTCCCACCACATACAATTCTGACCAAATCAGATAGCGCAAAAATCAATTTAATAAACATGTGCCCAAGCAACCAAGTCACAAACCACATGATAGAAATGTTGCTTCTGCAAGGCACAACCTGTAGAATTAATCTAAATAATAATTTCATAGAAATATCACCCACATCCCCAACTTGCTTTCAACCTGCCTAATAGACAGAGCACCTTCTGTTCCCAGACATTAGTCAATGCACAACTGCCAGACCAATAAGACGCAGGCCTCTATGGCTAAGCAGTACAACACTGGCTACAGTTTTTCTAAGGCAATGTCTAACTACAGACTGGTACAAAGATGGGAGGAAGGGTCCAAATGGTCTAAATTAACTATCTGCGCTGTTCAAATGCAACACATCATCCTAGTATTCAGTTTTACTCTAACTATCCACATCCCCTTGGCTATGTATTCACATTTCAGGAACACCAATCCAGCCAGTCTATTTTACTCTTATCACCCTTCCAGCTCCCCAGTCAAGCCAGGTATCCAGGTGATAACACTCTTAAATCTCCAGCTAAGAGCTGGGCAAGGGAACAAGGGTAGAGGGTAGAGTGCTAACAGTCACCCAAACCATCCAGTTTTCTGCACGGTTATGAAACCAATGACCCGACACCATGCTTGCGGTTTAATTCAGGACCAGCAACAGGAACCTATCCAAGCATAGCCTTTCACAGAACTATTCTGGAAAAAGTAACCAAAAAATAACTGGGAGACTGGTGGAATATAAATCAGAATCCTCGACATTCCTCTCCAGGGAGGGAACTGGAACCCTGTACCTAAGGACACACTGCCAGCAATACTAGGACAAGTGAATTAAAACGGAAGACAGCTCTCCTTACAGGAGAAAGCAGGACCGGAGTCAAGTGGGGGTGCATGAGCGGGTTTTCTATTAAAAGCACATCGCAACTTGCTGACTGGCCAGGAGCCCATCTGCAGGGCAAAATCTGGCCCTCCCACCTGGGGATCCAAACACCAGCATCACACAAACAGCAGCAGCAGCAAGAACAGCAGAAGCAAGAACCAAACTCTGCGCCCAAGTAAGCTCCCCCATATCAAATTTTAATGTAAAGGATGCATGTCACAGAAGTCTCACAAAGAACCAGAAAGCACAAAGAGGTGTAAGGCACACAGAGGAACATCCCCACACACCCACACAAATGCACACAGAGGAGAGTAGGACATCTAGGAAGGCGACTTTATCCTACCTTCTCGGTTTTCAGTTTCTTGATTCGCCTGTGGCTCTCCTCCTCCTCCTCTTCCTTCTTTACCAACATAGAGTTTCCCATGAGCCCTGAATCCGGGGCACTTTTGCTAACTTCCCCTGCAGCAGCGACGCTGCCACTCCCAGCGCCCCCGCAGTGGAAGGGGCTCGCGCCACCTCCATTGCTCTTGGCCCCAAAGCCATAGAGGTGCCCCCCGGAAGGGGCCTGGCCGCCACTGCCATTCTGGTGGCCCTGAAGCAGGTCGTGCTTGTCCTTCCTGGATTTCCCCGCATCCTTATCCCGCTTGGCGCCTCGGCTGCTCTGGCTTTTACCTGGCTTCTCCTCTTTGCTTTTCCCACAGGAGCCTGCCCCCGCGGGGGCAGCGGAGGTGCTGGTGCTGGTACTGTTGCTGTTTGGGTTGCCGCTGCCGCCGCTGCTCACACTTTGACCCAGCGCTGAATTCATGCCAGTTGCCTCTCCAGGGCGCCCTTGGACTTCCTGCCTCTTGCCAGTGCTGCTGATCTCGGGAATCCCATACAAGGCAGCAGAAGGCAGAGATTTATTAGCATCCTTAGAAGTTTTACTCCTTTTCACTTTTGATTTGCTGTTCTCTTTGTGTGAATTCCCCTGGGGAGCAGAGGGCTGCACAGAAGCAAATTTTAGGCCATCAGCTAAGGCTGCGGTAGCACCAGCCCCACTGGAGGCCGGACCTCCACAATCCTTGGAGTTGCTACTGCTAGTGGTGTTGGTGGAATTATTCATCTCAAATTTCTGTCTGTCCTTCTCCAAATCAGCGTCCAAATCAATTATTAAATTTCCAACCCCGATTTCCCAATCATCGCCACTGTCATAAGTATCAACGGTATTTGGATCCACACCTTTTCCTGCAGTAGAAATGTTCACTGACATCCTGAAGATGAGCTCTCTAGAATAAAAATCCGATGAACTTTCCTTTGGAGATGAGGGGACATTCGTTTAGCTCCGCTGGGCTTTCTCTTAAAGAAAAAAAAAATCTTCTAATCTTCCTCTTCTTTTTCCTGCCCCACGAATGTGTCCAGGGATTTTACACCCTTCAGTCCAGGTCCACCTTTTCCTGTGAAGGGGGGAAAAGTCGAATATTTCTTGTCTGGGTGTTACCAGAATAAAAAACGATTAATACTGGGGAGTCAGTAAGGGGTACAGGGAAGGATGGAGAGTAAGGTGGCTCAGGTATTGTCTCCACAGTCCAATATCAGGTTTAAAGGAAAATAACCAAACCCGAGAAACATACCCATGACAGTAAGTATCTTACGGTAGCTAAAAGAAAATCCCTTCATCAACAACACAAGGATAATCACTTTTTAAAAAATTATCTCAAGGATCTGATTCAAGTCCAGAAAGGTTTTTGTGTTTCTTTTTTAAAGTTTAGGATTTTTGTCTGGCACATGTAATATCTCAACCCCAGAAACACAGCCTAAACACTCAGACAAGAAGGAAGAACAGAGCTTTAAACATCCTAAATATGTCCTAGATCTTGCAATTTAAAAGACCAGACCCTGGAAGTTCTGAGGCTAGTTTTCAGAATAGAATGTTGCTAAATTTTCCTTATTTCTAATTTTAGTACTTCTTTTTACAAATTGTCTGGGCAATCTGGTTTTTGTTCCCAGTAAGGAACAGAAAAAACAACCAATAATCCCCCACACACATACATATCTCCCTCCTATCCTCTTTTCCCCCACAACTTATACAATTATTTTTTTTTTTTTGAAATATACATATACATGTCTTTAAGAGCATTTCTCTATAGAAAAGACAGTGTTATATAAAAAGTTAAATAGCTGCCTTTTGAGGAAAAAAAATACATCTTAACAATTCTAACAGAGTCCTAGGTCACAGAATTGGTGCCACTGACTGTACGGGGGAAACTGATTAAGACATACACTTTAAGTGATCTGCGCCAAGGTGGCCTCAATGACCGCAAATGAGTGTGTGTTTGACAAAGAGCAGTTAAAACGGTTTTTAAAGGGATCAGCCCCTTTTTAACAGTTGATTGTCAAGAAAAAAATAAATAAATATACATACACACACGCACACACACAGACATTGCTTACCTTTTAATCCTTTATCATTTTTTAATTAGGCCAGCAAATCAAAATGCCTTTCCCACTCCACTCGGCAAACAAGCCTGTGCCTCATTTTACTTAAACACCAAATGATCAAGAAGGAAGAAACCAAATAACACATCTCAGCCAGAATAATCACTCGATAACATTATTCCACCTCCCCACCCCCCTTTTGGCAAACGGATCAGGAGTCCTTTTCTCCTTAAAAAAATGTGTCACTGTACAGCTGGAAGATAATGTTTCACATTCACAACAGAAGCACCAAAGGTTTTTTTTCCTCTTAACAAGCATCGAGAATAATATTTTTTTTTTAAAAAAAGAGAGAGCTTAGAGAAAAAAGTTTTCCCAACTTCTCATTCCGCCTTCAGTTCCAGACTTCAGAGTCACCGTGATCAGTAAGTAATGATCCCATGTAGCAAACCTACAGGCGTCCGCTAGTAACAAGACAGAATGTGCTAACATCGGGATAAATTAGTGAAAGGGAAGAAAGAATAAGAAGAAAGGACTGAAAATCTGGGCTGGATTCCGCCTGTTAGTCGGGAAGTGGCATTTTTCCGCCCGTCCTGACAGATTTGATTTCTTGAACTAACTTAAGAGAAAAGGAGGGGGAAGGAAGGGGGGCGAGGAGGAGGAGTAGGAGGAAGAAAGGGTGGGATGAGAAGCTGGGCAAGAGGAGAAAAAGAAAGGTGTGGAGGAGGAGGGAGAGAAGATGATTCAGTGAGCTGATAAACCAGTTATAACAGCATTCGCTCGGGGCGGGGGGCGGTGGGGAAAATAACGGCGTTTAAAATGGGCTCAGTCTTCGAAATCCAAAGGATGTGATGTTTTCCTGTTTTATGTTGTTTTAAGAAAAAGGAACCGAGTTCCTAGTATAGTTCCCGGGGGGTGGGGGGGGGAAGAGGGACGGGGAGGATGGGTAAGAATTCTCTGTCGCTCAAGCCAATCAGTCATGTGGTAATTCGATAATTAGAGTCAAAAAAAGATTTTTTTTTTTTTTAAAGGCAATCTTTTTCAGGAGTTTTTCCCTCTTGTACTCGCAGCAAACGGTGCGTCTCCCTTTTATTTATTTATTTTTTTCTCTCCTCCTCCTCCTCTTGCCCACCCCCTCCTGCGTTTAGTCAGATGGCCTCGGAGCTTGGCTTAGTATTTTTAATTAGCTGGCGTTTGGAAGCTAAAAGCAGTAATGAATTGTTGATGGATTGGAAGTGGAGAGTCGCTTTGCTGGAAATGTCGGGGCTGGGAGAGGGGGATGGGCGAGTTAGTAGCAACCAACCATCTAAAAGGAGCGATTTTGTTACAGTGCAAGCCTTTCACATCACGTGAGGATCAAGGGCTCAATTGGTTGTCGTGAGAACAAAAATGGTGACAAGCGTATCAAGAAAATACTGATCTGGTCTTTAAAAAAAAGCTGAAGGTCTCTCCCCTCCCCCTGCACACACTCCCCCCACCTCCGCCTTCCTCCCCACCCCCCGCGCAGTGGGCGAAGCTACAAGTTATGAATGTGAAACATTTCTCGCAGATCTAGGATCTCGGAAGTTCGGAAGAAGTGAAATGTAATGAGCACAAGAGCAAAGCAGATGTTTTAAAGAAACACCTTATAAACCTTTCCTCAACTTATCTCCAATTTGTCCGGCTTTCCCAAGGGGCCGGGAACGGAGACACCTGGGGGAGGGAGGAGGGCACCTCCGAGCTACTTAAATTTTAGGGACCCCCCCCCATGTAATAAACAAAGAAAAACATTTTGCTAGCTTCCAAGCCTGGTCCTGTAATAAACACACCATTGTTACTATTTGTGGGTTTGTTTGGGTTGGGTGGGGCTTTTATTTTTTCTCTTAATGGTATTTTCGCAGCCTGCTTTTTTTTAAGGAGGTGAGAAATGGTAATTATAACCATTACATGTAATAGGTGGCTATTCCCTTGTTTAATATTAAATTACTGGGCACAGGGATCTGACAGGAGACAGAAATCGGCTTGTTCTGCCCTTGGCCCCATTTTCTTGGCTCGGTTTGGGAGGGGGTCTGCCCAGCTAGGACAGGAGAGAGAGTAAGGTGAGCTAGAGAATTGACACTGCAGACCAGGATATGTAACTGTGTCACTTTTATTCTCCTTTGGGTTAGAGCCCAAAAGATAATTTACTCTAAGTTACCCCAAGTGCCCAGTCAAGCTTAATTTGTGTGAAGAAGTTACAAATGCTTCACCCTCCACTGAATAAAATTCACCCTTCTTGGGTTGTTCTAAATGCAAAAGCCAAACCCTGTAACTAGTTCCTCATTTCTATGCATAAAACTCGCACATTCCCCTGCATGAAGTCCCCGCTAAGTGCTATATAGAGACACACCACGCAACCGTACTTACGATCTGTATTGGATCGAGTTGACCTTTTCCTTCTAACTGCATTGAATGTGTTTGGTTGCAGCCGCTTTATTTTGGAAATTATAATCTCTTCAACAAATTTATTATTAAAGAAGATGGACCATCAAATGTCACAGACCGTCCTGTGTATTTTTTATAAAAACAAAAATTAAAATTAAAAACAAAACAAAACAAAAATCCCCCTGGTGCACACACACAACAAGCTTGTTCTGCAACACTGAAATCAGGACTGAAACACAACACACACACAGGGGGAGTGGAGCAAAAGGAGCTCTCAGCCTCTATACCTGAAAGGGACTTTTCTTTGTTCCCAGTGCCCTTTCGCATCGGGCCAATCAGAGAGCAGCTTTTATGAAACTGGGCTCTCTCATTGGCTGACAGCTTTCTCTTGGCTACTGTAGGGGGTTGAGATACACACACGTATAAAACACACACTGAGAGCGGGTGGGGGTGCGGTGGGGGGTGGTTGTGGAGACAAAGCGTTTTATTTTCCAACCAGATTGGGGTTGAGGAACCTCCCGCAGTAAGAAGGAGAAAAAAAATGGTGCGCCCGTTTCAATTACTACATCATTCACATAAAACACTTATTTATTAAAACAAATCTCAAACAGGCTGCGAGGAGAGTATGTCGGTAAATACAAGTTTGATTGTGTTATCTTGAGGGAAATAATGTATGTGATCGCTCGGTGGCAGAGGAAAGCCAAATGAGCCACCAGCGCGTAGCAAGGAGAAAAGGGAGGCTGACTGTGTGGAAATGACTGCGAGCGTTTTGCTGGCTTCCCTTCCTTGTTCCAAGGACTCCGCAGCCCAAGTCCCAAGACTGATTTTCTGTATTGCAGCTTCTGGCTTTCAACCCTCCTCCACCGCTTTGCCCTTCTTGCAATTTTTTTTCCCTGTGTCTCTCTTTTTACTCGCTGATTAAATAAGAAAAATCGATCTAGGGGTAAAGGCGGTAGTGGGGAAACAAGTAACCCTTTTGTTTCCAGTGTTCTGGTCTACAAGCACTGAAGTGTGAAAGCGGACGACCATTTAACCAACACTATGTGAATGGCTCTTCCCCGGAATTAGTAACAAATCTTTTTCACCTGGTGTTCTCCAGCTCCAAAAAAATAAAATAAGACCCCAGCCAACCATATTAACACCTCGGGCCAGCCTCCTTTTTTTAAAAAAAATCGACTTGTGGGAGATAAATATACTAGGAAGATTAACCCCTTAAACAGTCCCAGTCCTCATTTTTAAACGGTCGGATCGTCAGAATGCCTTTTCCTCAAATCTCTAACCCTATCTGGGGAAGGTGGGGGTGGGGGGAGGAGTGAGAGGATGTCCTAAATCCTCTGAATGCTACACCACAATCCACAAACAGAAATATTTTTGGAATTTATTGTAGGACAAATGCCAGCAGCAAAGTTAATGGGGCTCTGAGGTCATAGGATAAGAGAGGTTAATATGAAATAACAAGTTAAGTATTTTACTATAACTGCTAATATATTTAAGCTAATGTATTTTTCTATATTAAGTCTTTAGAGCACGTTTTCTTTTTAATTTTTCATTGTTATCTCCCATTACTTTTAGGAGCCATAATATGGAAATTTTAAAGTTAAAGGGTATTGTGAATTTAGTGTAAAGCATCATGATACTAAATTTTAAAGATCCAGTACTACTGGGATTATAATTTCCACATGACAATTGCAATTTAAGAATGTGTCTTAACTGAGTGATATGGACACAGAAAGTGAATTAGTGCTAACAGAAGATAGCTTATGACGTAAATATTCAGTGATGACTGCGGATCAATAAAAATATTTATGTCACATGTTTTAAGTAATGGCTATTGACTCATGTTTGAGCTTTCAATATATTTAGTCCATTAAAAATTGCCAATGAGTTGTTTCACTACCATAAATGAATGAGATTTGATGCTGCAAATAGTAATAAACAGCAGTTTCCACCTTTTATTGGGATATATAAACCAGAAGAATGCACTCTACAGTAGTCCTTAGATCTCCCTAAATCCATTTGTATTCAAATCAAAGCTGTACTTTAACAAATAAAATGGGGCAAATTAGGTATCTGATATCCACTTATCCCACATTTTAACTTTGAGATTTGTTTTACATTTTTTGAGTACAGATTTTACATTTGTGTATGCATGCACCATTGATAATAACACGACACCATATGGTGATTTTTAAATTTTCTTGTTTTAAAAGAGTGATTCCTCAAAGGACCAGATCACTCTTGGGCACTTCCTGTGTCCCTGGGGTGTCATCTACATTTCAGCCTTTAGAAGCCTATGGCTACCCCATACGTTATATTAGTTTGGAAAAAAAATCAATGGTTAGACTTCAAAGGACATTTTAAAATGAGACCTAGTGAAACTGGAGAAGAGTGGAGTCTCCTACAATACATTCCCTTGGTAAAAACAAATCACAAGATCTGCAACATACATTTAGTATAACTAAAACCAAAGGCGTAGGCGTCCTAAAACTCAAATCATCTAACGCTTGCTTCAAACCTAAACCCAAACCTTAAACCTTTTTGGTAAACTCCTACTGGCCAAAGATGAAGGCTTATGCCCAACTTGACCACACATTTAACCCAAACCATTTTGATAAACTACAGCATTTCCTTCCATTCCAACATCACCACACTCCATTTACACCCCACCCCCATCTTCTTCCTCCCAAATTCTTCCTGCAGACTTTTGAATAAACCAGTGTTGTTAAACTGGCTTGTCTTGTGTTTGTTTTGTTTTGTTTGACAAAGAGGCCCACCAAGAGGCATCACAGGACTATCAGCTAATTGATGACTGAAACTAAGATAATTAAGTACCAGTTTTGAAAATCAGAGCTACTCCCCACACAAAATTGGGAAAATTCAGCTGTACTTATAGAGATGAAAATTTTCTAATCTCTATCAAGGTAACTGGGAACGTATTTGTCTCTATACTAACATCCATATGCACATACTTCATAATGCCAATATACTACTGAATACTATCGTGCTTTGTAATTTTATATTTTACTGCACATCTACCCAGAGGCGGGGTAAAGGAGAGGAGATGTCTGGAAATAAGTATTTGGAATGGAGGAGTAGGAGGAGCCTGAGGATAGTGTAAACGCGGCAATTAAAGAGCAGTCATCCCACCTCCAATAACCACAATCACCCCCTCCCAGGACTCTGAGATCAATTTTGCCACTGCATATACCACACCACTTACAAGGAAATCAAAAGGGCTTCTCCTCCTTTTTAGGGCAGAAGATCTCAATGCTGAGAAAGCCAGGAGTTTTAAGCAGATAACAGGAAAACATGGCAATCTTTCTTGGTACCTATTTCCAGAGA